GATAGCCCATTGTGCAGCTATGTGATTAACTTCAACCAAACAAACTTTATTGGTCAAGTCTTCTTTGTGATTGTTCGTTAAACTAAGACAATGATTTTGTATACCGACAATAATGTTAGATTTTTATTCTCTTGAATCATTATTGACTTTATGAAAATTATATTTATTCCAGACTTTTGATGACCGGATGTATATGTTTTCGACCATCACGGCTGGAATGCGCAGCAACTGGATCCAAGCACTTCATCATGTTTGTAAAATGTATCTGAGACATTCATTTGTAAGTACAACACCTCAAGAAAAGTTCTCTTCAACCATTCTTTCTCCAGTTTCTTCTAGACAACAACAGAAACCACTTAACAAGACATCCAACAAGATCAAACATCCAGATAACTCTCGTCCTCTGTCACCTCCAAAAGTAACATCTAGAATCAGAGAAAAAACCAAGTCACGATTTTCGCAGTCAAGGATTTCTGACAAACATGGTAAATTAGTAGCACCTATTAGTGTTTACCAGGGTTCACCTTCAGATAAAATAGATCATCACAACAAGGTGTTAACCTCAAGAAACTGTGGCACAGAATTTCAACCTTTGAGACAGATAAAGGTAAGTTTAAATGTTTCATTTGGTTCTCCTTTGTAAAAGGTGCTATTCTCACAATAAAAAGTTTGTTTTTCTGATATTAAATAAGACTTTTTATTTTTGGTGAAGCATTTTTAAACTTTTGCAATGAAATTAAACATATATTCAGATCATTAATGTAATGTTTGATCTCCAAGATTAAAAATTGTAAGTACATACATGAACGTGTCGACCTGTAACTAGATATTTTGGAGCATCTCGTACGTGACCATTTCCTTCTTAGTTTGTGAATGAAATTATTATTAATAAATATATTAAACTCCAATTAATAATATTAGTGAAAGAGGTCAGGTCATTAACTGTTTTGACATAAAATGTGTAGAATGTTTAATATTTTTTGGTTTTTTGCATGTGAATCTGTTAGAATTACATGTTCTATGATCATTATATTTAGACATAATTTCAACCACTAATATTTTTTCATGTAGGAAAATGTAGTTTTTATGATTTTAAAGTGCTGTTGGTTTCAAATTTAACTATTATAAATACTTTTTTTTGAGTACTTAATTAACATATAAGAACAAAAATATTAAATTTCCAATACCTTCATGTCACAACATAATGTTAAAAAAACGTGTGTTATATTTTATAGCTAGTCATGTACTCTGGTTCTTTACTTACATCAGTTTCACCTGTAATTCCTGAACAGGATTGCACTAAATCCAGCATTTGTCCAGAGGTCATTAATAGCTGTAGTGACGTGAGTGTTTCGACACCGGTATCACGTGACAAAGATCATGGTTCTAAGAATAAACACCTTACGTGTAAGAGACTGGAAAATGGTTACAGCCTGGTTACAATCAAGCCTGATCTACAAAATATAGCGAATGCAGATGCTTGTCATGAAGATTGTAAAGATGATGACCGTAGCCAGAACAGTGAAATTCCCACAAAGATCACAAATACTGGTGAGCTAACCCTAAAAATCTTCAAACAAGAAATGGCCGACAGGAAAGAACTGTTTGTCGAGAAAGAGGCTGAGAAAATGCTTACTAATAGTAAAGTTATTGTTCTTGAAGATCTGCAGACATCCCTTCATTTGTGTCTAGATAGATTATTAAATCTTAAAAAGAAGTTAGAAACATCCCCAGAAAGAAGGGATGAAGCGCTTATAGTGGGCAGGGAAATTTTTAGTCTGTGTGGTGAAATTGAAAAGATTTTAGGTCTGAATGATAAAAAATTAACGAGTGAAAGTAAGATTTGTAAATCTGAAAATTCTATTATTGAATTTCAGAGTGCTTGTAGTGTCAAGCTTGTAGAAGTAGAGAAGCTTAATAATAAAATAAGTTCCTTAAAATCAACTCTAAATGACCGAGATCAAGATTTGAGGAAAGTTCGTACCCAAATAGACAGCTTAGAAAGAGAAAAAACGTGCTTAAAAGATCGTGTAAAACAATTAGAAATGGTTCTCAGAACGTCCTCATCTGACGAGTCGTTCACTGAGTCGTCCAAGTCTTTGTGTGACGAGAACACTCATTTGAAACTTTTGTTGAACAAAGCCCATGAGACGAGCAAAAGTCTCAGAAAAAGGCTGCAAGAAAACAATGAGAGCTATGCCAATTTGGAAATCAATAATTACCAATTGGAGCAAGATATCAGGCAGTTCCAGTCAGAACATTCTTCCCAAATAGCCTTAATGATAGCCAGGGTTGAGGACTTGACGACTAAATTGGCAACTGCTGAAAAAAACTTGCGTTACCTAAAGCAGAAACTTGAAAAAGCAGAATTAAGGCAAGAAAAACGAAAAAACTCTCTCCAGGGGAAAGAGGGGATAAATCTCTCCAAAGAATTTGGAATCAAACTTGGAGATTTAGAGTCTAAAATAAGTCATATTGAAACTGGTTTAAGTAGTCATAACACAAATGATGAGGATGGTATAATGTCAAAAACAGACACCAAAAGTAACCAACAACTTGGTCTGTTAACAAGACTTAACAATTTAGAATCCAAGGTTAAGGCTGCCTGTGATGTAGTTAATGTTAATGAGCCAGCAGGAGAGTGTATAAAGAAACCAGAGATATCATTTCTCAGAAGCTCCAATACAGAAGCCAGTACTATGTATGCTGCTGATTGGTCATTGAAACTGTGCTCTGTGTCCACAAGAGGTGCTAGTGATGATGTACTCGTGTCTGTTTCGTCCTGTATCGAAACATTGTTTCAGAAAGTCAAAATGGTAATGGCGTGGATCAAAGATACTTTCTTGGTCTTACAGAAGCAGTATTCAGGGACCAAAACATGTTTCGAATGTTCTAAAGGTCCTGTTGATGAATTTGTACGTCTGACGAAAACCTGTCAGTACCTCCTTTCTAGCGAAGAAAAAGATGAAAATATAAAAATAAACCTAGTCTACCTCTTACTTGTTCTTCAAGAAATAACAGTAGCAGCTATAAAAATTAGTGAAGTCAAATTAGTGAATAGAAATATACTTCTTAAAGAAATATATACCATGCATAAACTTGTTTGTGCATTTGAGAATAAACTTTGCTCTAACTCGTGTGGTTTGTCCATTAACTACGACAATGGAAACCTTTCATTTCTTTTTTCGTTCGCTTCATTCTTTTCCAACTTAGACACACCCGAGACCGATTCTTTGAATCCTTCAGAAGATAATGTTTCTCAAGATCACTTGGAAAATGAAGTTATGACTCTACAAGAACAATGGACGAAAGTAAAAAAATTAGTGGATAGATTACGGGACAAGAAAATTATCGCTCTAGTCAAGTATCTTAAGGATGCGAGAGTTCAGAGATTGAAAGAGGAAGGATCAAAGAAAGATTTGTGTATTTGTTCTGAAGAATTAATTCTTGCTGAGATGTACCTACTTATTCTTTGTTGCAGTGAAAGATCGTACAAACAGTTCCTGTCAATGTTTCAAAGGTGTGGGTTTTTGTCCTCGTATTTTGAATCGAAAACTTTCGAGGCCTGGAATTCTTCAATGAATACGGAGTTAGGAAAAGAGATCGAATCTATCTTTACACAAATAAAAACCAGTTGTGCTGAAGGTGAAGCTTTTATTAGAATTCAAGCAAGTACTGAAGAACGTTTACTTAATGAACGGGTGGTGCAGCTCCTCTTGGAAATAACGGATATGTGTGTGGTCTCTGCTCTGCTTCAAGGTTCTACTGCTTATTGTACAGAAAGGGTCAGCAGCTTTAAAGCAGGTAATAGCACAAAACCAAATATTAGTAATCACACTCATCTACTGGACGACACGTTGCCAGAAAATCTTTACAATTGTTTACAGCAACAAGCAGTCAAAATGATCACCGTCGACTCTCCATTTTCGCTTTCAAAACAAGAGTCAGCTTACAGTCATAATGGATATTCTCTTGTTGTTGAGAGGTTGGCTAAATTCCATTCTTTAAACATGATGAAGCTGAATGAAAGATATGCTGAGGAAATGACTAAAGTGAGAACCAGCTACCAAGAGGAACTGAAGAAGGCTCACTTAGAGTTTGAAGCTTTGAAGATAGAGCAACAACAGCAGTTAGGGGAATCATGTCGAACATGCGAGTTTTTCAAGAAGGAGGTGGACTGCTTGTGTACAGAAGTGGAATGTTATCAACAGCAAGGAACAATGTGTCACACCTGTAAAGAAATAAGCAGTAAACTTGAAGAAGTTACACGAGCTTACGAGGAACAAACAGCTTCATTACAAGATGAAAAGAAAAACTTGAGGAAACAGTTAGAAGCCAGTTTTAACGATCAGGTAACCTAATGGTATTTTTTTTCATAAATAAACACAATTTTGTTGCCAGCAGTATTTGGTATAACACATTGATATATTTAGGTAATTACAGTGATTGGTGTAACAACTAATTTAGTTGGCTGTTCTTTAAGTGTTTCTGTGTTACTCAATGAATTGTTCTAACATAGATACTTAACAGTCTTTAATGTAATGGTTCATGTTAACACAGTGATTGTTGTCTTGCTAGACAAACCGTAAAGTTGTGTTTATAACCCAGTTTTTAATGTGTCAGCATAATTATGTTTGCTACTTCCTTTTATAATACACGTTCGACATTCATAGTTCATTAACAATGATAATGACGTAGAGAGGCTCCAAAATGTTTTTATATATATATATACTGTGTACATGACAGTGTTTGTATATACAATATAGATTGGGTGTATATATATATATATATATACAAGGTATACATGATCATATATATATACATGTAAAGAAAATACACGTGTTTATCTATAAGGTAGATGTGTCTACATATACAGGTTACATGTGTTTATCTATAAGGTAGATGTGTCTACATACACATGTGTTTATCTATAAGGTAGATGTGTCTACATACACATGTGTTTATCTATAAGGTAGATGTGTCTACATACACATGTGTTTATCTATAAGGTAGATGTGTCTACATACACATGTGTTTATCTATAAGGTAGATGTGTCTACATACACATGTGTTTATCTATAAGGTAGATGTGTCTACATACACGTGTTTATCTATAAGGTAGATGTGTCTACATACACATGTTTATCTATAAGGTAGATGTGTCTACATACACATGTGTTTATCTATAAGGTAGATGTGTCTACATACACGTGTTTATCTATAAGGTAGATGTGTCTACATACACATGTGTTTATCTATAAGGTAGATGTGTCTACATACACATGTGTTTATCTATAAGGTAGATGTGTCTACATACACATGTGTTTATCTATAAGGTAGATGTGTCTACATACACATGTGTTTATCTATAAGGTAGATGTGTCTACATACACATGTGTTTATCTATAAGGTAGATGTGTCTACATACACAGGTTACACGTGTTTATCTATAAGGTAGATGTGTCTACATACACATGTCTTTATCTATAAGGTAGATGTGTCTACATACACATGTGTTTATATATTCCAAAGATTTCATATTAAGTCAGACAATATTTAGATATATTTATTATATTGTTTTTTGATCTGCAGAAGGTCATTTGTTTTCCTTATTTTAGATTGAAACACAAGAGAAGAAAGTAGAAAGCCTTCAAAATGAACTACAACTTACTCAGACACACCTCAGAAACTTGAAAGTATGTTAACTTTTAGTTCTTTGATCCTGTATTTTCTTCCTTTCCACAGCTGATGTGTACGTTTGTGTGTGTATTTATATAAACTAAAGCTAAAATATATATTTTTTCTACAATATTTTATATAAACTCGCGATGTCATATTTTGGTTTGGTTTGAATTTTGTGCAAAGCTACTAAAGGGCTAGTCATTCATAATTTAGCTGTGATAGGCTGTATGGAGGTCAGCTACAGCTAGTCGACACCACTCACTGCCAACTCTTAGGCTACTTTTTTACCAACGAATAGTGAGGTTGACCATCACATTATGACACCCTCATTTCCCAGCATGCCTTTATTTTATTTTGTGCTCTTTTCTTTGATTCTTTATTGTCCTCGGACAGTTTTTTTTTTTTACCATACTCGGCCTAAATGTACTGGTGGAGATGATAACAGGTTAAAACATTAACTAAACCGATATTTTTTAACTTCTGTGATTATTTTATTTTCATTATTCATTCTAAGATGGAAATAAGTGTCAAACTGCTACATTTTTTTTTCATCTTCCAATAAACAGACTGAGTATGAAGAACAGATGAAAAGTTTGATGAAGGCCTATCAACAAAAAGTCAAACAAAATGTTCAAGTGACGAGCGAAGAAGCGGTACGACAGCGTCACCAAGACGACCTATCCGAATGGAAGGTAACCGTAACTAGCTCGCTAGACATTACTATTTAACGTCACGTGCAAGTTTAACATAATCTTCTCCTCATTTTCCGTCAGAAAACAAGTATGTGACACACACGTGTCGACTATAGAAAATGTAAATTTCTTTGGTATTTCTCATTTAGGTAAGAAATTATTAATAAATTCAACTTCGATATAATGATACCTGCTAAAAAGGGAAAACGGTATATTTTAATGGTCTAGAAGAATCATAACCCTAACTGACTTAAGTCTTTAACTTATTTCTGTTACATCTAAATCCTAAACAGATGTTTTATATATAAATACTTGTTAATGTGACGGTCCTTTCAACTTGAATAATGTGGTCACTTTTCTTTTGTTGAATAATTTAGTGGTCATTTCATAGTTGAGTATCGTAATGGTGGTCATTCAGTACATAAACTTTCGATAGTTGAGAAAGTTGTTTTTGGTACTTTGTGTGACCGATGTATTTTAGGAGTAAACCAGTCCAGGCAGCTGGTTCTTATCTAAAGTGTTTGTGTGTATATTGTTGCGTCAGCGAGGTCACGTTTCTCCTTCGGGAGTGCTCTAGCATTTACTAGATTGGGGGGTGGTCTGATATATATAAGATGGTCACGGTGTGACGGGATAACTCACTGTCTACACACACATTAATTGATCTGCAGTCAGAGAGTATTATTGAAGGTGAGCACGTTCGTTGTTATAGCGTTTGTTTTAGCGCGATTGTTGAAATTAAGTGTATGGTAAAGTTATATTCGGAAACAATAAACCAGTTTTATTAAGTAAGGACTTGTGTCGCTAGTTTCATCGGAACGAAGTTACGGAAAATTAATTAACAAACGGAGACGTAACAAATTGGTGTCAGAGAGTGGGACAGAAGATAAAAAAAATGGAAACGAGAAGCAGCAAATCAAACTACAGCATAGCAGACTTGATGGCAGCAATACAAGAATAGCAAAAGAAACAAGAAGAACGAGAAGAGAAAATACAACAGTTGTTAGAGGAAAAAGAAAAAAACAAGAAAAACGAGAAATTAAACAAGAAAAGAAACAAGAAGAACGACAAATTAAACAAGAAGAGAAGTTACAGCAGTTGTTAGAGGAAAAAGAAAAGAAACAAGAAGAACGAGAAAAGAAACAAGAAGAAAGATTACAGCAGTTGTTGGAGGAAAAAGAAAAGAAACAAGAAGAGAGACAACAGCAGTTGCAAGAAAACCTGCAACAGTGGCAGCTCGAAAAAGAAAATAAACAAGAAAGCCTCCAGCAGTGGTTGGAAGAGAAAAAAAATAAACAAGAAGAAAGACTAGCAGTGGCAACTGGAACAAGAAAGGAAACAAGAAGAACGAAAAAATAAACTAGGAAGAGAGACTACAGCAGTGGCAACTGGAACAAGAAAGGAAACAAGAAGTACAAATGGATAAACTAGGAAGAGAGACTACAGCAGTGGCAACTGGAACAAGAAAG